AAGATATCTTGTATATTGGTAATACAGAACCACCTTCTTAATCCACTTGCTTTGAATCTCATTCATTTTTATACGCGACATATTCAATATTCTTAATTATCATAACTTCGTTTCACAATTTCCTTATCAACTTCCAATGTTTGTCTGCTCCTTCAATTGGCAATTATTAAGGCATGACATAAATTAGGACAAATTATTGATTAATAATCATTTTTAAAAGCAAGATTTGAAAAGTGTGATAACAAAACATGCAACGGTAAAGAGGCGGACAACATTCTCCTTTCGGTCCATGGCGTGCCCGGAGAAAGCCATAGAGTACCGAAGTGTGGCCTCATAAAAAATCTATTTCAAAATTTCTTAATTTTGACCACAGAATCTAATATAACGGCATAAAAATCTTCCCATTATGCAAAATCAGCTAGATATATTTAAAACTAGGCGAGATATGGCCAATGAAGTTTCCTAACGGATTTCTGTTATTCTGTCCTGGTTCATAAACAAAGACAAAATTACAGAGTTTTGATGGGGCAAGAGCCTGTGCTCATGTGGCCATATCTCCTCTAATTTGTAACACATTCTACTGATTTCGCACATTTAAAGGTGTTTCACGATGCTTTTTCAGGTTATGGGATCAAAATTGAAAAATTCTAAAAATATTGTTGTGACGTCATCACTTCGTTACTCTATATCTAAGACTTCAGCAGGAATTTAGACTCGCTTTTCACTACATTTATTGACAAAATCTGGACATACCTAAGCAAAATGGAACATTCCTATGCTACTGCTGCAAACTAGGGCTTTTCTTGTTTTCCTAAAATATTGTAATACCCGTCGATGTTCTTGAATTTGTCTTGCAAAAACAGGGTTTGATATTTGTTTCAGGTTGTCATACAAAAACCTTTGGCAAATAAGGGTATGATGGTCCTCAGAATAATTAACCACTGTCAATTACCAGACTGAAGGTGGCGTTCTCTCATCATTTTTCATTAGGACTATTTATTCTTGGTCTGTCGGTACGCAAATCGCAAAAACGGCCAAAAATAAACCCCAGCCTTTTGTTGAGAAAAACAAATAATGGCCTTCTTCCGCCACGAGCGTTTAAGATCTCTACACCTTACTAAAGCACCACTCAAGTCTTTTTGCACATATTTAAGCCTTCCCAGAAAACAGATTTTTCAGGCTGCAGAAAACAGATCTCTCAACGTTTTTTTACACCTCAAAGGAAGTCTTCGAGATGGAGGGAAAGGCAAAAAAAAGGAAAATGTGAAAAGAGAACACCACTTTTTTTTATCTGTATTCAAACCAAAATCCAATCTCCTCTTATTTCCAATCTCTCGATTTATATACCTCTATTCATTATAATTGACATATTACGTGATTACAGTTTACAATATGATTGGTCCTGTTACTTCCTACTCCCCCTTAGCAAAAAAAAAATTTTGTAAGAAATTTTTTTTTTTTTGATTACGAAATAGAGAAGGCTACTAATGACAGGGAATAAGAAAATTAATATATGTATAAATAAATTGTACAATTACGATACTGACGTGTCCTTGAATGTTCATGATTCAAAATTTTTTGTTCCTCCCTGGGAGCTACCATTTAAAGAAAGATAGGGGCAAGAGTTAGTCAAACCTCGTAATTTCCCATGACGAGACAGGATCTCTCATGCATCTGGAAGCTGCTGATAGATATACTTACAAGCTTCTGATGAAATAGATGATTTAGATGGCTTGAGCTGTAAATAACGTCCATGCATATGATCATCAAAAAACTGGCACGATTTGGTCCAGCCTCCCTTTATGTAGGCTACTTTATGGTTGACATTGAGTTGAAAGAATTTTCCATAATGAAATTGACTGTTATCTTGATTCAACTGTTATCTTGATCCCAATGTATTTTTATGAGGGTTTCCTTCATTCCCCTAGAGTATTTAGGGAAGCAACGTGAAATTTCCCTGGGGGCCGGCCGAGCCCCCAGACCTCTGACCTTGTCTCGGTGTACAGGCCCCTCACCCAGGTAATTCCCGATTTATTTCAGCAGCACACTTTGACACCCCTAAGGTTCCTGCCCCATGAAATTGGAGGCTCTTAAGTCACGAAAAGGCTCAATCATGCAAATCGTGATACCAGCATGAAATTTTGCACACCTACCCAGTTTTATGCGCTGAAAAAGATAGGAGTCAGACCCCAACACAAATTTGCCCCTGAGTGCTATTTTTAGACTGGGGTTCACGGACCCAGTCCAATTGAAGAGCATTCATCATAACTCAACTCCAATTTAAGATACAGAGATAAAATTTGGTAGAGGTACGTAGTTTGGTGTGTTGAGAACGATAAGGGTCAGACCCTAACTCAAATTTACCCCTGAATGCTATTTTTAGACTGGGGTACTAGGACCCAGTCCATTTAATTGGCATTCATCATAACTCAACTCCAAATTAAGATTCAGAGCTAAAATCTGGTAGAGATACATAGTTTGATGTGCTGAAAATGATAAGGGTCAGGCCCCAACTCAAATTTACCCCTGGATGCTATTTTTAGAATTTGGTAGTTGGACCCAGTCCATTTAAGGGGCATTCATCATAACTCAGCTCGAAATTAAGATACAGAGCTAAAATTTGGTAGAGATACATAGTTTGATGTGCTAAAAACGAAAGGATCCCAACTCAAACTTGCCCCTAAAAGCTATTTTTAGACTGGGGTACTTGAACCAATATGGATTTCAGTTAGAGAGAAAACTCAAATATGGGGGAAATGGCAGCAGTTCCAGCGAAACGACGATAATAAAACAGAGCCGTTTGGTCTACTGGCTAAGAATCTTGTATTACATAGTCCTCCAGAGAAGACGGTCATTGCTACTTTCTTGGACAAATCGTTAAGCAGCACCGACATCGACTTAACTTGCTTGTCGCCTTGTAATCACGAAGAAGCGGATACGAAAATTTAAAGCATGGAGGAGACTCTGGCCATCGAAAAGTCGTTGTGAAAACAGTGGATACCGACGTGGTTGTACTTGCAAATTCTTTTTTGCAATCCTTACAGATTGAAGAGCTGTGGGTCGAATTTGGCGTTGGAAAGCACCGGCGTTGGCTTCCAATCCACCAGTATGCTACCAGCCTCGAAGAATCAATCTGCGAAGGATTGTGTTTTTGGTTTGCTTTTACTGGTTGTGATACAGTTTCCGGTTTTGCTGGTAGAGGGAAAAAGATTGCTTGGGCAGTATGGAGGTCATATCCAGAAGCAAACGAGACATTCAAAAGGTATGCAATTGAGCTTTATTTGTATGTGGACATAAACGTAGGAAGCATCTTAAAAGAAAAGGGGTAAATTTAGCAAAAAGGGGCATCTTCATGAGCTTCAAATAGGTACTCAAAATTCTGTTTCTCAAAATTGAGGGGGGGGGGGCGTCTACGTACGAGAATGTTTTTATGCAAGACTATAAAAAAGATTCAAGTATCAACGAATTAATCTGTATTTATCAATGATGTATGATATGGCGTGGTATTCTACGCATTCAAGAATGATTGAAAAATATACTTCTTTGTAAATTGTATACTCTATCTACTCCAACACATGTCAAGTCACATGTCACCATGTCAAGATATATCAATCGACGATATGAATACTATTGAAAGGTACATAATATTACTCTACGATCGCACAAGTTCAAATGAGAATCTGCCTCCAACGAAAGATGCACTAATACAGCATGCAAAACGAGCAGTATACCAAGCAGCAGGGTAAGTGTTAAGATAACTAGTTGCTCATTCTACATGGCAAAAAATCATCAATTTGTAGTAACCTGCCTTCCTTTATCACTTTTTAGACACATTTGGGGACAATCCACTCTAAATTTCCAAGTTCTTCCAAGTTATGAAAGTTGGGGGTGGACGAGAAAGGGCAATGAAATCAAGCCTTTATGGATAACAATTCCAGAAGCATCAAAGGCGTGTTACCTGCTCATCAAGTGTAGTTGCAAGAAAGGTTGCAGTGCAAGATGCAACTCTCGTCAGCATCAGCTAGATTGCACGGAGCTCTGCCAGTGCAGTGGACAATGCAGTGATGATTAAATGACATTATCTTCTTTAAAGACTTAAAACAAGAGTCGCAAATCTTCTGGATCGTGCATTCTAATTAATATTGTCAGGCAGCGCCAATGAGCAAGAAAACGCTCTTGGGCGTTGATTTACTCTAGTGGTGAAAATTTTAGAAACCATATAAACACATATATAAACACAAAAAACATATTTCGCTTTCCAAGCCATCCTAGAAAAAAATTTCAGAAAATTTAATACCAAGCTACCAAACCGTTTGCCTGAAATATCGTTGTCGTAAAAAGTGTTTTGTAACGATTGATTTATGTTTCTTAACCTAATCTGCGCATAAAACTAGGTACCTGTAAAAAAGTCTTTACCGTTATTTGTAGTAGAGTTGTGAAAGGATACCCCTTTATGAGACAGGGTCCAAGTACTCTTAGTACCAAAATAAAATTTTGGGGGAGTTTCGAGTTGAGGTTAGTGTCTGAAAATATTTAGGTCGTCAAACTTCGTACCTGTAAAAATTTACAGCTCTTTTTTGCTTTCTGAAGTAGGCTTGTGATGTAAACATTTAGGAGACTGGGTCCAGGTACCCCAGTGTAAAAATAGCATTCAGGGGTAAATTTGAGTTGGGGTCTGACCCTTATCGTTCTCAACACACCAAACCACGTACCTCTACCAAATTTTTAGCTCTGTAACTTAATTTGGAGTTGAGTTATGATGAATGCCCCTTAAATGGACTGGGTCCGACTACCCCAGTCTATAAATAGCACTCAGGGGCAAATTTGAGTTGGGGTCTGACCCCTATCTTTTTCAGCGCATCAAACTGGGTAGGTGTGCGAAATTTCATACTGGTATCACGATTTGCATGATCAATGTGATAAAAGCCCCCACTTTTGATTTGGAGGAATTTCGAAAACAGGGAACTGCGAAGCAAAATTATTCAATTTTCAACATTATTGTTGTTGCTGTCCCTTTAGCAAAGAGTCTGGTCCAATATGGCAGCAAGATGGAACCGTGTTGCGGACTTGTGTGGCAAGATAGATACGATTATAGTGCCGAGTATAAAACGATACAACAATATAAATGTTTGTACTTGCCTAAGGGTTCAGCGAAGATTGATAAATACATGCGTTAAAGGGATTAGCGCGAAAGGGAGTACAAACAAGGGCCGTTTACTGGGTGGAAAGTTTCCATATCTCCAGGGAAATGCGTTTTTATTAGGAAAGGACAATTGGCTTCTTGCGAAGTTTTGTTCCAACAACTCACCAGATTTGCAGACTGGTATGTAATTGTTATTTTTCTTGAAACAAATCTTCTTTCTTAAAAGTGCACATTCTTTTGTGATTTAGAAATCAAGTGTTTCCAAACCTTTTGACAAAAGTTTTAGACCAAAAAATTATTTAACTTTCGTTTCCTACAAGATAATGTGATAATATAACTTGAAATCAAAGCAAAGTTGTACAAGGAAAATAAGAACGAATTTTAAGCACAAACGTTATGATAGCAGAATATACACAACATCCCCATTATTTTGTGCTAAATGTCTGGAGGCCCATGTAAGAAAGTATTTTTAAATTTGCCAAAAATAAATTCAATTCAATGTTATTAGATTCAAGATTTTGATTACAGGGTACATGATAGCTAAATTATTTACAAACAAAATCTTAGGACAACTGAAAAACTGTTATGAGTAATCAACCATGTAAAGCTCTCATCAGAAATATGACAATAAACAATAGAAAGACAACTGGAAGTCAATATTCCATGCTGGATATCTCTGGTGCAAGCTAGGTATTCCACACTGGGCTATCAAGTAACTAACCCTATTTCACTGGATGCATATATAATTACACTACATGCAAACAATTGTTGGCTTTTTTGAGTTTTATATGTGTAATGGGATCAAAATTATCCTGAACTGGAGGAGAAAAATTTTTGTTTTTTGCCCAACTGTCAAACATTTTTTAAACAGCTGTGCTGTCCCTTAACCTTGTGTATAATGATGTGCTGATGCAACCTATCCAGCCTGTTTGCCACAATAACATCCCTGGCTGGATCAGCTTAGCAAACATAAATCATTGCCTACACTTGAACTGTTAATTATGTCAAGTCAGAAATGTGCCCAAGATCTTTTGGATAACAGAAATTTGGCCCAGATTTTTGGTATGATTCCAGTCTGAATACTTTGGCTGAGCTGCTGTCAAGATCTTTGCCTAGTTTTTTTTAAAGAAATTGATGGATTTATCATTGATTTGTCAAATTTAGGCAGGATGTTGAAGGATGTTGAAGTGCTGCATGTTAAATCGACATTCTTGCCAATTCTTTTGTACCATTACACCTTTTTTTAATTTTTTATGTGCTTCTTTGTTAGACTTTGCAGATATACGATTGATGATGCAACATAAGCTAGAAGAAAGGAAAGCTCCTTCAGACAAAGTTTCCAGGCAACTTGCCTTGTTGGATTTGCTTTTTGAACACCGAATGCAGCATGTGGATGCTACAATCATAAGGGAAGAAGCTAGCAAATGTAAGTTACTTACACTGCAGTTGTTAAAAATTTAGCCGAGTTGCAAGTAAGGATTATTTGATAAGAGATAATGTGAGTGGCTGACACAACAAGGGCAGTATTAAACCAACAACCAGCCAATTTGTATGGCAATACCTTCCTATCGAGCTAACCAATCACTTTTTCTAATCACAGGCCACAGTCATGCCATTCATGCATACCACTCTTCTCTTTAGCAAGTGCACAAGGGATCCATCACAGCATCCATGGCAATGCTTGTCATGAAGGAGAATTTCCTGCATCAAGGTGGGATCACAGCCACCACAAATCATCAACTAGTTACTGTGTCACTCACCCACTTTTTCACTTAGTGTATATCCCGAAGTCCTGTTCTCCTGTCACTTAAGAACTATTTTTGTGAAGGGAATGTCTCATATAAGACTGTTTATAGGCCATTGAAATATTTAATAATAGCCTTAAATCCTAAATAGTCCTAAAACCAGATGTTGCCTGAAAAGTTGCTTGATCAAGGGCAAGCACCTAAGGTGCACCTTAAGACAGCCACAGAGGGCGATAATGTTTTGAAATAGCATTGATGAAGCTTGAACCATCTCATTGAATGACCACAATATTATGACATATAAGATTTGCACAGCAGGTAAACAAACATATGAGAACGCTTTTGAGAGTGGAATCGTGTGATTTTTGAAATCTAAATGATTTTTGAAAATGCAATGTTTCAGTATAGACACAAAACGTTTTCATTCATTTCATTTAACTTTGAAAAAGGTATATGGAAGACTTGAGAAAATCCTGGTCACTTAAAAATGTATTAAAAGATGTGATACAATATCATACCCAGAGGTGTGATGGCAGGGAAGCTCAGCCCTTGTTGCTGATACCAAAAGGAGCAGATTTTGATATTTGAATTTTTTACAAATTCTTCTTTTAAATGGATCATGACGTTCATTGGAGATCAATGTTTTTTTCATTTCAGGATCTTGTGTCTTTTTGTTTCCTCATTGTATTTCTTACATAACATTCCTTCCAAGGAAGCTCTAAGGCAATTTTATCTAGAGGTGTGAAATAAAACGTTTTGAGTTTCTTAGAAGCTTGATTTTTGAAGCAGCTTCATTTTGCTTAGAGCAAGGCCTGGTTTATCACTGTGATTATGGAGTAAGTAAGAATAAGGGCCCAATCAGTTGATCTCATTAGGTTCTTCTAGACCAGGAGAGGTGCTCCAGTTTGATCAAGCTCCTTTCGGCTATATATATTTTTTATATCCACTTATATATATATCTATTATTAACATTTTTCTCATTGTATCCCTTAGTTGACCCAGCAGATATATATGCATTGGCAAGCGATATATTTTCATTACAAGAGAAAGGTGAGACATTAAAGATTTGCTTCTTTGCAAAATACAAATATGCTCTGGCTTCAAAAAATCATTTAGATCAAAGATTACGTACATGTTAATGAAAGTGTCAATTTTTATACACTATTTTTGACTTGCATAAATGCTTAAAGGAAAACTGACACGCAAAAATAACCTTAGCTTATTCGATGCAAAATTTGTCGCTGACTTCAAATCTGGAAAAAGTTTTCTTCTTAGATTCGCCGTTTTTCTGATATTTGCACTTTTATCCATCAATTACGTCACAGCCAGGACTCGGGAATTTACCGAAGCGGAAACAAGATTATCGCCAGGAGTTGTTAAAATTCTCGGTTGACGTCACAAGTGACATGTTAACAATGCCGTTGTAAAGGCTTTTTTTTCTTTTATATTCTCATAAAATTTACAACGACAATCAATTACAATACAAAAGCTTAGGGAGCATGAAAATGCATAACACCTCTAAGACTTACACTTAACATAGAGACACAAATATTACAATAATAAGCTACAAAAGTGATTGGAGTGGTGTCGCCCATCGTTCCAATAGCGTTGCAGATATGACAAATACTCACAAAAAGCTATTTTAAAAGAAGATATCAAGTCTACCTATGTTCCTTGCTAATCAAACAAATTTGCGCCCAGACATGATGAGCGACACCACTCCAATCATAAAAGGAATAAAATTTACACAAAAGAGAAAAATATTTACACGAGAGAGGTTTTCACATGAAAGTTGATAACTTATTGGAACCGTTCTAAAATTATGTTTAAATCTGTGGTAATTTAGCTTACTTAGTCCAACGCGTAGCTGCGTTAAAACAGATAAAAGTAAAGGCTTTCACCACAACGGTGAAAGTACAAATGAAGTTTCGTGTTTTATTGAAAATAGTTTGCGATAAAAAGACAAAAAATTGTCAGGCTTTTCATTTATAAGTATAAAGAAGCTAGAAAATCCTAGCTACATGTCTGATAAGACGCTAATATCCACATAAAATTTATTTTTATGCCATGATATCTTCGAAGCGGCATGCTTCGAAACATTGAAAGAACCTCAAAGCTTGTGAAAAAAGCAGTCGACTTTGTTTGAAAATTGATACCGTTTCTTCAAAGTTTTTATTTTTACAATTACAAATAAAACCGCAAAATGGCGATGGGAGGGGGGGGGGGTTGAAGCAATAGCCAAAAGACAAACAAAAACTAGTGGAGACAGCGGTAAAAGCGATCCTGCAACCTGCTTTGGGTGCAGAAATATGAATTCAAGAAAAAACCTTGGTTGATGGGAGCTGCGAATGGAACTAAATAATAATTTCACTGAACTTGATTATTGCATTTCAACAGAGGTTGAGATACTAGGGAATAACCTAGTCTTGCAAAAAGACCATCCCCCAACCAAGTCAAAATTGCTTGCAAAAAAAGATAATGTGCCAGTTGATAATCCTATGACAGCTAAACAGCATTTTCTTCGACTAAGAAATCAAGTTCTTTGACTAAGAGGTAAGAGCCTATTTCGTAAATCCAGATTTTTCGACTGCCAGGTAACTTATCAGTTCCCGAAACCCTTCACGCCCGGTGAAAATGGCATATAATCCGCACAAGTCGACTTTTAACCCGCCTTTACTATTTAATATCACTATACAGTTAACGCGTTTGAAACATTGAAAAACAATATTAGAATGTTACATTAACAATGAATAACTTGCAGTTCCGTTTAGGGCATCATAGGCATTTCAGCGAATTAGGCCATACAGACAATGCAGTCTGGACAAAGACGCCTCAATCTGAAATGAAATTCTAGTTTTACGATCCCTGATCCCATTTAGATTGTAGCAATAGCATTGTTTTTAATAGAAATTCCATGTCAGTTTGTACTTCCAGTCTGTTCTTTGTTCATAACATCGTCACTGTTGAGCCATGGACGACTGTCTGCCCAAGCGGCGGCGCTGGTTGGTAGCAAAAACTCAGACGGCTGAAACTCTCCATTTGTTTCGAAATCAGTGTAATAAAACTTGGATTCAGAGTCCCAAACCATTGAAAAAGTCAATTATGTGTCAAAAATGCAAAATTAGCTCCTTTCACATGCACAAAATAAACATTTGTCCGCAGCATATTCTTAAATGTTTCTATAGAGAAACACACAGTACGTGCTGAGAACATGTCACTTGTGACGTCAAAGATGATCGCCCACTCGTGACGATTTTCGCCTTGAATCTCAAGTTGTCGGAACAATTGTCGTTTCTCAACTTAAAACGCCTGTATTTCAAAAACGGTAACTGTGATTTGAAAAATTTTTTCGATCCCGGAATTTGCTTGTCACAAACTACCGTTTTAACCAAACTTATTTTTGCGTATCAGTTCTCCTTTAAGTGTTTTCTCACCTAATTTTAATACATTTAGCCGCTTACAACTCATGAGAAATATTTCCCAAAAGGAAATTATTGTTGTATGTCAACATTTTCTCTAAAGATTTTGTTGAATTTCAATCCTTGCTTCAATTCTTCAAGTATCTTTTCATCAAATCCAATTTTTCTTCTTCTTACAGAATAAGGCTTTCCAGATCAACACTCTTCATATGACATATTTATTTACAGCCTTTTTTGGGTGCATCATTTTGCAGCCTAATTATCTTAAGCCAAAAAATAAATTGTCTTTCAGTTGGCAATGAGGCTGCAGTTTTGTCTGGCCCTCTTTTTAGACATGCTGCCATTTCTGGGGACTTAAATGCAAAGTATTCATATGGTCAACTTCTGAGACTAGGTAAAGTGCAACTCCATTATAACTTATTGAAAATAGGACATATTGTGATATAATGGTTTTAATTATTTGTCATTCTAAGCTCTTGGATGATGTTTCAGCAATTAATATCCTGTTAAGATGCAATCTTATTTGAAAGAGACTTGCTCTCTAGAATGGCTAGTGTAAGCAAATGAAAGGCTACTTGAATATGGCTTTGAAAAAAGCAAACATTTAGTAAACTAAAGCTTTTCGTCTGACACTCTTCAGAGTTTAAAACGTCAGAACATAGATCGAAAACTCTACGCTAGGAAATATATATACCCAGTTGTGGATCGAAATAGGCCGATCAGAAACACAAGCACATGACTGTATAGGTCTTGTCTATGTTCTGACGTTTTAAACTCTGAAGAGTGTCAGACGAAAAGCTTTAGTTTACGAAATGTTTGCTTTTTCGAAGCCATTTTCAAGTTTTGTACCACCAACAGATTGTTTGCTACTTGAATACTGAATCATAACTCAAACTTTAGCTTGGACACAATCCTAGCTTGTAGCGATTTTTTTAGATTTTATTTTTAATTTTTAATTGATAGGTTGCATGTCTTTTATTTTAGTTTTGTACTAATAGAGTATCATGTTAAAACAATTTTTTAGAAAGAAATTCTTTAATCTAGGTCAAGCAGGCATGGACCCTGATCCAATTGAAGCAGCCAATATATTTTCTGAACTTGCGAAACAAGGTCATCCATATGCACAGGTATGTTTGTCTGTGCCCCAAAAGAATTTTTTCAAAGTCTTCTTATTAGAAGGAAATGATGACAGAGAAACTATGTTTTATTCACTGTTTGCCTTATTGAGTGCTAGTAGAGTTGAGATTATGATTCAAAAACTCAATACAAATTTTACTTTCTCATTATTTCTTTTGCTATGTCCTTCATTTTGCAGTTTGCTCTTGCTGGTATGTATTATGCTGGGTCTGGTGTGAAGCAGAATTTTGAAACATCATATACGCTTTTTCAGGTAATACTGAAATGTTTTATCGCATTTCATATACTTCTATACCTTTATTCTCAAGGCTTTCATTTATTTAATATGCATCTTATTCAGACTTTTAATTTGAAGTAAGCGCTTACTTGCGATCGCATCAGCACTCGTGATAACTCAACCACAGAAGAAGGCCAGGTGAGCAAGGAGGGATTATTGTCACCCGTCAAGAGAATTCGTAAGACTAACTCTATTTGGTCAATTTCGATACGCTGATTAAGAAAATCTGTGTTTTACAGAAAAATTACGTACTGGGCAGTCTGTGCAAAATTTTTATAAGGGTTGTACAGTTTATATAAACTTTAGCATGTGGACACTTTTAGCATGTGGTTTTTATTATAACATTGTTAACAATCTCTTCCTGGAGCGATTGCTCATTCAAGAGAAATCACGCTAGCTCTGAGCCGCCTGCGTGGGCTATTTCTTACCAAAAGGCCTACTTGTTACAACCGTTAAATTACCTAACACATTTTCCCAATTTGAGATGAAGAATGATTATAAGGTCTTGTTATATAAGGTTATACAGAGAATTGTTTATATAACGCTATATCTTTGTTTATTTATTAATTATGATTGATTTCTCAAAGATTGCTGCTGAAAATGGAGTTTCTCAAGGATACAATATGATTGGTAGGATGTTTTTCATGCATTGAAATGTTACATCAAGGCTCAAAGGGTTATATAAAAAACATTAGGATTATAGAAAAACTAATGGAATTAAAGAAGGGTCATTCTATGGATTTTCTGATAACTGCCTACCATAAGAAATAAAGTACTATTATGAGCCATTGTATTACGATGAGCCTTCATCAATAGAATTCAGCGAATGCTTGCCATAAAGTGGCAAATTATCAATCATCATTAAAACGCCTTTAGTTGCCTACCTTATCAGTTATTACTCCCAAGATCCAAACGGTTTTGGAAGAAAACGATATAGAAGAAAAATGATATGCAAGAAATTGATTCAAAGTGAAATCACATTTTTTGAAGTCACACTTCTATGTTGGTCATTCCGTTTCTGTTTTGTTCTCTCGGCCCCATTTTTTCCCTTCGATTAAGGCTTTTTGTCATTTAAAGCTCACCACTTAGTAACATTCATCCCACCATTTTCAAACATCTTTTTACTTATGTACCAATATACAAGTATTGCCTTTGACTTCCCGAATCCAAATTTGTAAAGGTCAGTTTTTACTGGAAGAAAATCGTAGGAATCTGGGAAGTAATTTGGAAGTACGACAATCTATAATATGTAAATTGAAGGAAAGAAAGACGATCTATGAAATTTTTCGTAGTTATTCGCATATGCACAAGACATTTAGCAATTATTTCATGTTCATTTTTTTATTTCCTTAGTTTAAAACAATTTTTCATTTGAAATTTATCATTTCAGGTAAAATGTACTTTCAAGGGCAAAGTGTGGAGAGAGACTATAAGAAAGCATTTGAGTATTTCCAAAAAGGTGCTGATAAAGGTAAACAAGTTTAGTAATGCCTATTTTTCAGCATTATCAAATGGTGACAGGGATACCCATTTCACTGCTTTATCTGCCATCCTAAAACATTCTTGACACTCTCCTATATTGCTTTCACGAAACGCTATCCACTAATTTGGTTTCTGCCTGCGTTGATATAGTTTGCCTGTAATTTTTCCTTCAAGGAACGGCTTCTGAAGGGACCTTTGTCTTGAAATGCGGCCAGTTTTGCTGTATAGAATGTCCAATGCTTTGTTTACATGTGATTGTACTAGAATCCTGCCCGATCTTGCAAATGTACTTGAAGTATGTTTTGAATTTCCCAACTGAGGATGTAGCCTCAAGATACAGTTATCCCTGAACAGGTTCTAAATCCCCTTTTAATTCTTTTGTTTCTGAAGCTAGCTATTGTTTTATCTGTTTATCTATCTTGAGCCAGACTTGTGTTACGCTTCAGGTGATATCGGTGCATATATGTCGTTGGCTCACTGCTATTCGAATGGAAAAGGCACAGAAACTGATTATAAAAAGGCTTTCGAGTTTCACATGAAAGCTGCAGAAAAATGTGAGTAAAACATGGCAAGGCCTTTTTGCTTTCTTTACAATGTCATTTTAGTGTAGGTGTCAACTTAATTTTTACACTTAATTTTATAAAGGATGCTTAAAATTTGTTGTAAGTATGTATGTTTGTATGTAGTGTTTAATTCTGTGTGTATTTTATAATAAATCTCTAAGGCCTTAAAGCGAGTAAGTGTAGCTGTTTTTATTGCTAAACATTGCTTGAATATGGGTTGTGACCCCCATTTAGTGCGTCTGTTAACCCTACACTGATGTGCCTCTTTACTTCTTTGCCTTGCAACCTTTCAATATTTTAGACAAACATTTTTTATTACTTTCTAAAGATGTGAATCTAAATGCGAATTATTTTGTTTCTTACTCGTAGCCCATCCTCCTGCCATGTTCAATATTGGAACACACTACTTCAGTGGCAAAGGGGTTGATCTTGATATGCAAAAAGCATCTGAATTTTTCAGAAAGGCAGCTGACCTTGGGTTCAGCTTGGCACAGGTAGATTTGTCTGCTTTATTTGCTTCCAATCAGCCTGTATATATTAGGACAAATTTCAAAGATGCGTTGCTCATGTATGAATTATTAACAGATTACCACAGTGTATGTTCCCCAAATCTGTTTTCAGTCCGTTGCAAATGTTTTTGTTTCTCGCGGGCATGCCAAATTGCATTTTTTAAATTAGTTGACTTTTGTGGCTAAATAAATTGCCAGAGTAGGAAGAATAGTTGTTTTATATACGTTTAATAAAGATCTCCTAGAGTCGATTAACAGTTCTATGTGTGGTAAAAATGAATAAGGCAGATTTTCTTCAACTAAATTATGCAAGGGAACGTATCTAAGTTTTTGTTTTAAAGGGAGAGAAAGGACCAGAGTACAGCACACTGTTTGTCCTTCCTTCGTTCAATACCCCTTCAGGCCTCTTCAACACCTCTTCAGGCTGTGAAACCGTTCTCAGAAGATTAGGGCAGGGTTTTATGTGAGGCACCCAAGTTTCTTTTTTGTGACCTTGTTATTGAGTGTTAACCGTCCTGTTTCTGGGCTATGGGGAGAAAACAATGGAACATTTGATAAAGTCTTTAATGGATTCTCATTTTTAGGGTTAAGTAGAAATTTGATATTTTCTTATCACATGTATATTGAAGTGTGTATAGCTTATTTGGTTTTGTTTTGTTCGTTGTGGCCTAGGTTAACCTTGGCAATATGTATTACCATGGATTGGGTGTCGAGAAAGACTGGAATGCTGCCAGGCGATTGTATAAAAAAGTAGCACCAACAAATCACAACGCACGTCTTCTACTCGAAGAACTTGAAGCAGAAATGAAGAAAGCTGGCATGGAATTGGAGGATTAGCTGGCTTCTCTTGTCTTCGAGGTGTATCTTTGACACAAAGTCTCAACTAAACATTTACATACATTTTATGAGCATCATACAATTCTACACATGCTAAGAATTATCATGGTTTCTTTTTTTCAACTGCAACCAAAGAAAGGTTTATTCTAAGCCGTAAATTTTATTTTACTATTTTCATATGTAGTAGGTTATCTCGTCTGACCCACCCAGATGCAATAGTGGACCAGCCTCTTAATGAAACATCATTCGAAAATTCGATGTATCGTTACATCTCATTACTTGAATGGCATAAATAGTTTGTGAGTGGAATTGAGTGGAATAGCATTTTAAACAATTTCTTTATATTCAGTTGCAATCAGAATTAAATCGTTTGTACTGTAAAAATGTTTTGATGAGGGTTTTCTATCATCTGTCTTTTCACCAAAGTGCAGTTTCATCGTAGAAGAAGTATTGATTGTGAAATATTGTTCTTAAAACATGTCAAGTTAACACCAGCGTACAGTTTAGCAACGCGTATTGTTTCCTTTGTCGCGACCCCTTTTACATATCGAATCCAATTTTGCTATTTCATGTATTCCTCGTTCTTTAAAACGGATAATAAATCTTACAATGTTAACATGCGGTCCTACTTTGATGAAATGAAAATTTCCTTACGAGTTTATGTTGGCAAGTATCGTTCTTGAATAAGCTTTTTTGTAGATAGAAAATTTGCATGTAGCCCAGAGGCTCTAAAGATGAAATTTAGCATCACTAGATTGCAATTTTAACATCACATTTGAAATCTTTTTTGAATGGGTAAGACCCTGCATAATAATACAAGTATTATATTTCTCATAACCAAAAGGAGAATGGGAGAACGACAATATTTATGAAAATGTCTTTTTTGGAGTTTTTCTTTCTGAAAATGAGAGATCACCCTTTTAAGTTAATTTTGAACTTTTGGTTGGAAATTTTGAAGGCGAAAAATCATTAGATCCACTTTTTGAGAGTGCAATTTCCATTTAGATTTTTATAATAAACAATAAATTTTTTTAATAAATTTGATAAATAAGCCTTCTTGTCCTTGGAAAGTCATGATTTAAAATGTTTTAGCATCTTAAAAGTATTTTCCCATTGTCAATAATGGCCAGTTGGAAAATGCAGTTCTTTCTGGAGACAAGCACAAAAACTGTGTTGATAGCAAATTCGAATGTACTATTTTCAAAAGGAATGTTGTCACTAATAACATGACATTCTTTGTGCTCCATCTCTTTCACTAGTTGAAACTCTGCCTAAATATGATGAAATTGACAAATATGCAGCATAACTTTAGTCACCTTCAACCTTGTTTTTGATTGAGAGCAACAATTTTTGGACGAGAGTATCTCGAACAGTAAAGCCGCATTTACACGAGCAATTTTTCCTTGGCAATTTTCCTTGACACGTTTCTTTGCCCGTGTAGATTATAAACAAGTTTTGTTTGACAATTTCTACACATTTCATGTAGAAAGATAAAAAATCTCTTTGACAATATCTATATGCGTTATGGCAAGCGGAGTTTATAGGTTAGCTTCGTTTTCTGACGGGGTTCGTTTTTTGCTCCAAATTATCTTGCAAAAATGGTTTCGAAGAAGAAATTTTTATTAGTGTGTGGGACAGCTGAAGAACTACTAATGTACTATGAATCTAAGACAAAAAAAAGCGAAAGTGGTGGGTTCAGAAACATGATTGGAGAACTGAGACGCACAGACCCAAGCAGTTTCCGGTTAAATTTTGCGTTTGTAGTCTTCGAAAATTTCATTGGAAATCTTAGCAGGCAATAATATTTTATTTTTTGACTCAATCAGGGTCCAGGTATATCTACAAAAAAATGGGTAAAATTTATCGAATTCCAGGTTATTATTTATTTTTGAGTAAGGGACTTCGTTGTTACAGTTTTTCTATCAAGGGGCCACATATTAATGGCATGAAGGGTGGCAGGAAGGGCAAGTCGCGGCTATTGTTTTAGGTAAAACTCCCCTATTGAGCATCTCCCGCAAAAAACTCTTCACACATTTTGAGGAAGACGAGAAACGTTTTTGCTTCATGTATGCCTAAAGCAACTGACAGAATTATGGGCGAGAATATTAAGAGTGTGATGTAGGGAAATTATAGTTGGCTAATGTAGATCGTTACGTAAAAACATTTAAAAGCTCAAGAGACAAAGATACAAGAAGAAAAATTTCGTCATAATGTAAGAATTTACCGTATATTTATCTCTGTCATATAAAATTACACATATTAAAATTTATCTTCACAATACAGGCTGCGTATGTAAATATTGTCAGCGTTGTTCCCATTGAGAACGTGTCTTATACACAAATCACTTTTCACCATGAATGTTAATAAAAATCAAGACTGGTAAATGCATCTAAGCCATCGCTCTTTAGGGCAGTTCACATGGGCGGATCAACCAAATGCATCCTAGATTCGCCCTAAAACTAACAGCTGTAGTAGTCAAACAGACCCCCACCCACAAAAAATCGCACACAAGACGCTTCCCCCCCTTCAATATAAAAATGGTAGCGAAATAAAGCTTTCAGCTGGATTTAAAATTATCATCTTTAATGTTTGTTTCACTTCCTTCCAATTCTACACTGTCTATTATGGGTTCACTCCCTTTGACTTCCAATGAGCTTTCTGTCGCATTCACTGTCATGCCTAGATTTTCAGTACTCACCGTCGAGTCATCTGCTACGGTACCCTCTAATTGCGCTCCCTCTATCCTTGGGCCTACATCTTCTTGTGTCTGTTGTGTATTGGTATTTGCTACATCAATTAGTGTTTCATTCTCTTGCTTTGAATGCGTTTTCTTATGGCTATCAAGAAAGACGACAATAACGCTGATATTATCCATGGACCCGCGGGCTTTGGCTTCTGTTGCGAGCATACTCGCGCATTCCGACCGTTCGTGGCCATTTTTTATGTGACTGTCGATCAATTCAATGGCTGTTTCATCACTAACTGTATCCCACAATCCATCGCAGGCAATTATGATGTAGTCTTCATCACCTTGAAAACAAAGAAAAAATAAATGACGAGAAACAGTTTCAATTCTCAAAATCTTAATTTTAGATACGATATTGAAGACATCACACCTGTTTAGTTCGTTGCTATCTGCGCCTTTGTATACAGAATTATTTCAGACAGAATGTGCGAACGAGATTTTAAGAACAAACCACTAAAAACAACCATGATAAACTGAAAATGCAAATGATAACATTAATTATTTCATGATGATTTATTATTTTGTTTCAAACATTTAATATTTCATGGTAAATGCTCCTTTTCTAAAGAGGAAAGTTTATAAGGGGAGGGGGTTATGGCCCTTTTCCAAAGAGGGAAGTTTTTTTAAGGGGAGGGGGTTAAAAGTTGGCGGTTTTTATCAAATTTTAACATTATCAAGAGTTGATCCATTCCAAGAGGGTTTAAATAAGGGGCACTTACTCCGATTAATATAACAAGTAAAAGTGCAGAAATAAAACTTCGCATTCAAAATATTCCAACTTCTAAAAAGTTCTAACTTTTCACGGAAAAGAAGAATTTGACGCCTCATTTACCTACCAATAGTTTTCTAATCCATTGCATCATTTATGTTGTGTAGGTAACTTTATAATCACTATACATTCTTGAAGCTTTGGTTGCTATCAACAAAACATCGTTCTCAAACGGACAGGCCGCGGGACAAAACAACTTGCGAGCTTAACAGTAAATACATAAAAGAAATAAGCTATTTTAAATCAAAGAAATTTTAAATCAACCGCTAAAGAGGACCCTTTGGGTAACAAAATTTCCCTCGCAATAACCACCGGTGTTTTGCATTTTAATCCATGAAGTTAGAGCTACAAAAAAGGCAAAGTTATTAAAATCTGGTACAGAAACACTTCAGAATACGTGTTCTGTTGTCAGATACACCTTAGAGACTATTAAGCGTTGGATAACGTCCAAAGGTGAACGAAATTCAACACAAAGGCACGAATCTAAATAAAGCGAAACAAGAATGACACGTTTCATTGGCTCCTTGAATTGACCTATCAGTGACCACAGTCTCCATGTGTAAATGAATAAATGAAAGAAGACCCAAATACTTACGAGTAATATCATTTCTACGAACCTTCAAAGTGATATTGCGAAATGTCTGCATCTGATGAAACGAAAGGTTTCTGCTCGTAATCTCCAATCGCCCGCGAAACAGCCAAACTTCCATTCACACGCCAGCCTCCGAACCAAACAACGCAGCCACCAAGATCCTCGATTCGACGTCGCTCATCCTGACAAGGAGATTTGGAGTTACAAAAGGATAATTCATCTATATACAAGGTGGTGGCAGTCGGTAGAAACAAATATTGATGACGAAAGAGGAGGCGCAAAAAGGCCGACAGAAAAACTTGCGTGATCTGGGGCGTGAAATAGTACGCAACCAGAAGGGTTTGTACCCTCAAAAGGAAACAGTATTGCTAGTTGTTTAATGTTTTCATCTATCGACTTAACCATGAAAAAGAAGCACAGAAGTTGTTGCAAAAGCCGAGCAAGGATGGGAGCTTGCTGATGTGTTTGGGGGGCTTTAGGCCCATTGACCTCCCACCGAAGAACATTCCTGCCTTATATACGCCCATAAATAAACACAAAGCAAAAAACAGTGAAATACAATCATGTTGGGAAATACATTTCCTCAGTGAAACGAAAGGTCATAAAAATTTGTTGAAGGGTTTTGAATCAACTTTGCTTTTTTCTTGTAGTTTGTTTTGATAAAAAAGAACATTTTACGAAACAGTTTCTTTAAATTCCTTCTTGGGGATTCTTTTCTAAAATATTCGAAAACAACATCAAAAATTAGAACATCGATTAAAGTACAATGCAATTTTTTAAGACAACAAATTTGAGAGCATTCAACAAAGCAGAAATTTAATTTCATTTGCGATTGAACTACCTCGCGTTCGGGTTTATGCGGTTCCATCAATTTGATTGGCACACCATTCTTGCCCAGGACAGCTTGTGAATCACCAACCCAGGCCGTGTACATAGTGTCATTTTGGATCAGCACAACCACTCCAGTCGATCCGCTTTTTAGCCTCTGATAACAAGAAGAAATGTCATAGGCCTAGATGTCACAGGCAAAATTCGCATAACTGATATAACTCGCATATAATTCCAAAAAACAACCTCGTTGGCTTGCAACATTGAAGTGGAAAATGTGAACATCCTTTTTTATTGTTATAGCATTTTCATTTGAATAACTAGAAACAAGAACTGATACAAAAAACGATAATGAGGCAGAGCAATTTGAATGTATAGGATCAACTGCTTCCTTTAAGGCATTCTCAATTGTTCATATAATTGGAAAGGCGATCACCCTAACAATCTTAATAATGTGGGCAAATCGCTGCTCTTTCCTTTCATGTAAAGGCCTGTCTGCATGGGTCATTTGTAAGAAAATTTTCTGTGATATACTTTGGAAATGAAAGATAACACATAATTTCGCCGATTTCCCTTCCTTTTCGAAACAATTTGACACGTGAGTTCTTCCAGAACTGTGAAAGTTGCTAGGATATCTTCGGACGCTGGCATGGCATAAATTGATTTTTTGAGTGGTACAGGACGAGCAGTGAACTTGCTGAGTTTTCTTGTCTTGGCAGCTCTTTTGTTTTCCTCTAGATCGGCGTGCCACACTTGCTTAACATATGAGACTGCTTTTCTATAATATGAGTTACACATGTAAACCTTTGCAAGTGGACTAATATGTTGTAGGCTATATTTAGAAAATACTCACAAAAAAGTAAACAAGTAAACCTACTTTAGAGGATCGTTCATACCTCTTGCTTGGCCTTGACAATAAATTCAGAGTCGGTTTTGGTGAATGCATATCGCAAAGCTTCCAGTGGCTGCGTGCTCAGTTTTTCAAATTTCTTCAAATTGCAGTGGAACTGACTGGCAGCATAACAGGCAGCATCAACCCCTCCGTGTCCATCGAAGACAGAAAACAGAGCTTGGTTTGGGTATTGCTGAGACATGAGAAGAGCAGTTTCATTATTAGATTAAATCATCAAATATCATTGATAAATATGGTGAATACAAATCATGTATAGCAAGTAATGAAAGGTTATCAAAAGTTCCCTGCAATGGTCCAGTTACTACACTGATTTGTCTTTTCACAAACATAATGTTTAAATACTAAATTAGGGGACACTCTTAAAAGCCGCTGATAAATTCTTTAGAGGAAGTAGGTGGCATTTTGAATATAAGGAGAGGCATTGATTTTACTTCTAATGAATCCATTTCAAACTATGAGCTATTCAACTGCTCAAGTTGCCAAACTGGTAAGTTGAAGGGCAGTGGGCAAAAGGAAGCAGAGGTTAGCTTTAAGCTAGAAACTTACGGCACCCAGACCATGAAGGGTATTGAAGTCAGGCATAATGAAATGTTTGTCCTCCATTTTCCTTCTTTTGTTCTTGATTGCCTCGAAACTGATTTCATATGAGAACCTGTGAATCAATTTAAATAAAAACTAAACACAGAATTAGGCTATTGATAAATCTTACAAGAAACATTTTAGGTTATGATATTCATTTGAAGCTATTTTTTAACTTTTTAAGTACGAAATTGTACTTATTTTCCTTTTGATTTATTTTTGCCGTTATGAAAAACCTTTGAACCAAGGATTAGTGTGCTTATTCATACATACATACCTGTTTTTGTGCAACTTGGGAAGGTTAGCTGTCCATCGGTCACTTATCGTGTACAAATGGTTAAACACTGCCTTGGCAACACTGATCGCATCATATTCTAAAACAAAGATATATCATAAGCATCCTTGTATGAATTTGGTTCCCAATTGTTGTTAGCAGTAGTACATGATGCGGTTTGTAAATTAAATATGGTGTCATGTGCATGTACAAAAAAAACAAAAAATGAATAATATTGGCCCAAGATTTGGTCCTTTAGGAACTAAAAATAACATGTCACATGGATAGGAGATCTAAGGAACACAAAATGGAAAATGTGGTCGATCTGTCACCATAAAAGTGTTGCGATTTTTTACATTACTTTATCATATTAATCTTAAAATCTCAATCAGCTATTACTTTTAAAAATCTACTTTGCTCAAAATACTGAGAGAAAAATACATCATATTGCTAATTAAATTCAGGTTTTCAACTAGTGCTTGTAGCCTTGTTCAAGGCTATGTTGCAGTATGATATTTTACAATTTACAAAAAGAAGATAGCTCCAAAAAGATCTAGAGTTGCAGTTTTGAAGAGGCTACCAGAATCAGATCAAGAAATATAGGAGCTCAAAATTTGCAAAAAAAAATGTCCATCTTACAGAATTAGTATTAGAGCCAAAACAAAAAAAATTTGAAGAACCATATCTTTGGGATGCTATAAGATATCAAGCTGAAATTTTCAGGAGGTTACTTTCTTATGTATTTCACACAAAAGATCCATTTGGCATTAAATGACCCAGAACTAATTTTAGATAAATAATATGTTCTTTCATAGTCTTGACAGGTACATAGAAGACTGTGCTCTCTTGTTGTATTTGCAGTTAGAACAGAGAAGATATCATTTTAGCAAAAACAAAATAAACTTCTATATAAAATCACCAGGCCTTTGAATGGGATGCAAATACACATTCAGACCTGGTCATGTGAACTGTCTATCACTCCAGCAAGACAAGGGAGTTTCAGCTTTAATCTCTGAACACAACTGCTTCAAAAACTCATTGTGATTCGGCAGTCCTGGTAATATCAGGTGTGCGATCGTATGCATGCGTACACCTCTTTACACGCCTAAAACTCCCAAGACATGCTTTCTATTGCACTCGCAGTTCCATGTTTTCACTTACTATCTTTTCTCTTTTGTTTCTTTTCATTTCTTGTTTATTCAATCTAAAGTAATTTTTCAATTTTTTTTTGGCACTATCTTAATGGCATTGCTGGGGGCATTGTAACTCTTTAAGGCCCGGTTTCTATTTCTTTTTGTGTCTCTGTTTTATCATTCTTCTCTCGTATTTCCTGGAACACATTACCCCTGGGCCATTTCATTTTGGTCATAACCATAACATGGGTATTCTATTACTAAGTCCTTTTTTCCGTTCACAAATCCGCTCTCAAATTTGATATTACCAGGACTGATTCTATATATCTCTCTAAACTGTCATGCCAAGGACCCAAACTTGTCACAAATTTCCATTGTTGTTAAATGGAAACCAGTCTACAGCCTATTGTTTAAGATGTTAGTGGTCTTCTTTACTTCACACTATTACTGCAAATTTGTGAGATGACTTAAAGTCTGCCAAAACATTAGCACTGCTTTGCCTTGCGATTCTTGGTGATATTGCTTCAAGAGACTGTTGAGTCTCTAAGACTCATGCATGCTTCTTCTCACATTTTACCCAAAACTCCCCTTTTCGTCAGAGAAATGAAAGCTCCTTGCTATTTTGATCACTCCTTGTTAATGGAATCATTGAGCTAAAAAGGTGTTTAATAGATGAAGATTGAGTTCCTTGCAGAAATAGAAACCATACCGAATTTGTGTGTGTGCCTGCTGCTTTGTATAGATTAAGAGTGTATGATAAGATCTAACCACAAAGGAAGTCGGAATTTGTTTTAAGGGTTTTAAATATTTGCCTAGTGAAATATTCAAGTCACAGCCTTTTAAAGCAATAGGTTTGTATTTTGAAAGATCAAGAGTGTATAACCTTAATGTGCTGCCTCTGTCTGACACACATGGTTCACTGCTTGTATGACAAGTTTTGGGTGCATTTTTTATTGCCCCAACAATAATTTGTCTTGAACAATAAATTGTCTTGAACAATAATTTGTCTTGAACAATAATTTGTCTGGAACAATGATTTGTCTTGAACAATAATTTGTCTTGAAAAATAATTTTGACAATATTTCCAAAAGAAATTAAGAAAAATAATGCATAAAAAATCTTACTTTTAACAGTAGAATCCTCTGAAGGCAAATGAACATCTTCGCCTTGCTCAAATTTCTCTAAATTTCCATTCAATATTTCCACAACTGTTTCATGGGCCAATGCTGATTTTAATGCCGATCCGCAATTCCTTTTAATATTAAAGAGAGCATTTGTCACTCACGAGTTAAAAGTTGCTTTCTAAAAAAGGAGCAGAATGAATTCCCCACAATAGTGTAAACAATACATAAAGTCAATTTACCAATAGGTCATTCCCTACCAAATTTACAAGACTTGTAATCTGGTCTCTAAATTAACTGTATTGGAGACTGTTTGTTGATACATCAAATTCAGTAACAAAATTTCCCAAAATTTGCAATCAATGTCTTGACTGATCACAATATTTTCACAGGTTTAATATCATGGCATGGCCTAGCCTGCATGCAGACTTTTAAAGTAGGAGACTTTCACTTTCAGAAATCAACGCGCGCGGCCAAAAGCTCGGGTGATAAGAGTGGGGCATGCGAATCAAATTTTTTTAACAAAAAGCAATAAAGTTTTTTCTATTGGATCATTAAACGTGACAAACTTAAAAAAATGAACTGAATGCTACACATTGTGTAGCAATGTTCATGTTTCCCTCGGGAGTAATCGTGAAGGGTACTGTGCGACATAGAGATGTTTCATCTTCAAACGTTATCAACCGAAAACAGAGTTGTTTGAAGATGAAGATGGAACAGCGAAAACGAAGTCATTGGAGAACAGTCATTTGAAAACGAATTGTTTGAATGCGAGAATCGAAAACGGAGTCAATTAAAAACGAATTCATTCATCTTCAGTTTCAAGATGAGCTCGAACAAAGGATATGAAAAAGGACAAAACAGAGTTATGGGAAAACCTTTGTTTCCGTTCTGGCCAAACAATGTGGGCCAGAGCAATTATTTATTATTATTATTAACTCTTTATCTACAATGTTGGCATAAAAAAGGTATAAAATAGCGAAGCATCGCTAATATAAGCCAACTATTAAAAAATGCCAGCAATGGGAACGGCTCAAGAATAACGGAAACTGAATGATCAGAAAACATAGACATACAAAAATGGAGTAGTGGAAACAAGGATTCGATTTTAAACTTCTGTTTCTAAAAAGAGTTTCTTAAGTGGATTGACCTATCAGCATCCGGTAATCGCGCTCTTCAAGAGAAATATTTATCATTGGCCACACGACTAATTGCTCTCAAAAATAACCTCGGGCGTGAGCCTGCTCGCTCATTTGCCCCCAATTGAGAGCCCTGCTCTCTAAATAAGCTGTATTTGAGACTGTTTGTTGATACATCAAATTCAGTAACAAAATTTCCCAAAATTTGCACTCAATGTCTTAACTGATCACCATATTTTCACAGGTTTAATATCATGGCATGACCTAGCCTGCATGCAGTCTTTTAAAATGGGAGACATTGTAAAGTCTGTGCAACAGCCCTTATTTTCTTGTATCCAGTAGGTCATAACTTCTTAAGCAAATTGTCTTTATTCTATGGCACGATGGCTTCAAATAGAATTTCAGTTATTTGTCAATAATTTTTATCTTCCATTCTGCCTGTGCATTATTAAGAATCTGCCATAGATTCCACGCATGATATTTGTTTATCTGGTCATATTCCACACAAAAATTCTACCTTCTAAACTTCTGACTTCTGATAACAAGAAAAAACAAGGAACACAAGGTCTCTTTGAAAGCCTTTGCTTCAAATTCAGCACACAATTTCACCGGAAATGTTTGTTATTCACAAATGTCAAAATTATTGTTCTGGCGTTCCCTGGGCAGAAAAAATACTTTACAGTCTAGCCAGTTTATTCAATACTGTTATCATTGGGTTTCTGCTAGCTTAAAATTTACAGATAAATTATTCATTTAAAGATAAAAAAAATTAAAATACAATCAAAACTTCCATAAATGTTGTTAAAATGGCTCTCTTAAAACTGCCTAAAAGAAACAGGATTCTATTTTTCTTGCCCGTAGAGCAGCCAAGAAATAAAGACCCCTCAGACCAAATTCCGTTTACAGACAATTTTGACCTAAAAAAGACAATTAATAATATTTCTATTTTATCAATGTGACATTTCTGTTAAGTGATTTGCTTCAATTCTGATGCTTTACTTAGAAGAAAAGTACATTTTTGTCTTCTGAGCCCAAATTTTTCTCCAGACCAGCCAATCATATTGATGAACCAGACTGCATTCTTTGTCATGGGTGGAGAATATATTCTCCGTGGAATCTATGGTGGTTCTAAAATGATCCAGGAAATTCACTTAATAAATAGAATACACACAAAACTACTGAAGCAAAAACAGCCTCCTAAATTCTTCCTGCCGCGGGCATTACTGCCTCTGTTTGTTTTCTCAGATTCTTGTCAGTTAGCTGCTATTAATCTTAGTCTTTTTAGAATCTTTGAGTTCGGAGCACATAGCGTAAATTGGGACCACATGCTTTCATTTGTTACTAAACCTGTCAACATATATTTCAACTAGCAAAAACAGTCTATTTTAGTAAAATCAACCAGTTATAATCTGTTCAAGATTGTGTAGAACTTGAGACAGACATACCAAACCTGTTTAGCTTGGAGCTTTTCTATGGAGACAACTACTTTGATTTGATTATCATTTTAACAGTACCCATATGGCAACATTTTCGCCACCTAAAACAACTAGTCCGCCCCGAGGTGCTGATGTTTCTTATCACACAATCAGAAGACACAACATTCATGCGGCAAGTAGGGAAAACTTTGAGCCGACGTGCCAGTCCTGGCCTACTTCGAGTCTAGTACTTGGCTAGCTAAAACAAAGTTAAACACCTTTACTACAAAAAACTACAGTATAATACCTCTTTGATAGGTATGCCAAGACCAGATCGATTATTTCTCCTTCAATTTCATCCGCTGTCATGCAGTAACAGTTCGGTCTTACAAGAACAGAATCCTGTGAGTCCCCATGTTCAGCGACATATTTACTGAGGAACTCGCCAGCCTCAGCAAGTTCCTTCTCCTCAAGCAAAGCACTCATTTTCCAAGAATCGCCTCTTCTATCGCTGGATCATGCTTATTATAACCAATACATTCTCTCTTCTCATAACAGATGAATCACTTATCTTTTCATTGAATTATTCATTCACCCAAATCACTGCTTCTCATCACTACAAAACTTTCTTGGCGCCAGACGGAAACCAACGATAGAAGCCGTACCCCTGGAACATGCAAGTTCACGCGAGAAACCGCGGGTTTAGATCACTTTAAATTTACCAATCTTTTGTTAAGGCCGCTTTACACAATCATATTCGGTTAAAGGACGTGGCCTCAAATTTTTGTCACCCTCCGCCCTTCCCCAAGAGCCTAGTGGCTTGGGCCGTCACTGTTGTCTACACAAAATCTGTTTTCTCAGCTTTTTCTTTCTAGCACAAGTATGCCCAAAAATAGTAAGACCTTTTTAACGACTGCAAAAGTGACTGCAAGAAATATTCTCAAATTCGCTTATCAGAAGGGCGTGGTCGCAAAAATTGTCTTTCGGTTTGCCCGTTGTCTATTGTTTGCCCCGGGGCAATATTCATTTAATCTTACCATTTTGGTTGTATGTCTTTCTGGTTATACAATCTTTCATTAAAAGAACCAGAAAATTGAATCTCAGTGAATGAAACATCCTTTAATTGCCGACGAGATTGAAAATTCTCCGAAAAAACACCCGTAGATGGCGAGAACCATCTCTTTTTCCGATGAGATTTTGTCAGGGGATTTCACAACATTGTTCAAAATCGCATTTTACAGTAGCTGAACCGCAGCTTGTTCTTAATCTGTTCTCAACTTTTGACTAATTTTGAGGCTGAATGTTGACTGCCACCTGAGCGACCCCCTTAGTTCCATATCACTAAGAATCCCCCCTGAAAAGCTTGTCGGTGGAAGCGAGGTTGTTATTGACAATTTATGGTGCAACATCCAAGACGATAGCAACCACCCAAATAGCAAAGTGAAAAGATTTTAGTTGACTCAAAGTTGAGATATTTTGAAATATAAAAGGTAAATGTTAATATTTTCTTTAAGATATAACTTTTGTTTGCAAAAATGGCGAAGCGCAGGAATGCAAAAGCCGAGCATAGGCCAGAACCTCGGTCCGAAAAGCTGGATTTAGTGAAATTTCCAAGAACTCGTCATCTGTTGGATGCAGGCGGAAATGGAGTTTCACGAGACGATCTTCTAATGACAGCGAAAGAAGCAATTGCTTTTCTTAAAGGAAAAGTAGTTTCAGTTGAAGAAAAGGTTGATGGTGCCAATTTAGGTTTTTCTGTCAACAAGAATAACGAAATCAGAGCACAAAATCGATCGCACTTCGTCATATCGAATTCTCACCAACAGTTTAGCACGTTAGAAGCGTGGATATCGCGACACAGTGCAAGCCTGTTGCGTGTTCTTGAGCATGGCAAATTCATATTATATGGAGAGTGGGCTTATGCAAAGCATTCAATCTTTTACACACGCCTTCCAAGCTATTTTGTTGCATTTGATATCTATGATACTGACAATGGGCACTTTGTCAGTCGTAAGACTAGGGATAAAATGCTGAACGGAACAGGTATTGCAACAGTACCGTTAATTGTGGAAAAAGAATTTCGATCTCCTGGCGAGGTAATGATTTTTCTGATGTGAGGCTGTTTTATTTTGCAATGTAGATGGTTGTGTATTATTCATATGACAACACAACTTCCATGTGAAAATTAAATTAAGCAGAACTCAACCACCTACAAAACTGTTTTTTTAATGTTTTTTTCTCAACTATTGTAGTCTTCGGTAGTTTCTTGTCCCCTACAATTACTATTTACAGTTTTCTCCTTAAGAATTTTTTTCTCATGGTCTCATCAAATTTAATAAATTATGAAAAAATATTATAATGAATGTCACAGTATACTTCTATAAATCTGGAATTTACATTTCCCTGGTCCCAACTTGAGTAAAACATGACAAAATACCATTTAAAATATTATTTGGTTAAATTTTTTTCTAATTTAAAAGTCTTTCATTAACTTATCAACAATAGCTGTTTGCCAGTTTTGTTTGATAACTCTTCCTTATTTAATAGCTGTTGCCATATTTGGAGGCCCCATCTGCATACTATGATGGTCCAGTAGAAGGAATATACTTGAGAGTTGATGAAGACACACAAGACAACCACAAGGCAGAGAACTCCGGAACCTTGTTACAAAGGGCCAAGATTGTACGACCAGATTTTTTGCAACAAATAGAAGAACAGTGGACCAGACAGAAATTTGTAAAAAACATATGTGAGGTTTACTACTAATATACATTAAGAAAAATCACAAATTTATGCATATACTGCATCTTTCTCATTGATAACAATTTAGTAATTGCAAATAATTCTACTCTTCTATGCCTTGGTAGAGTGCAGTTTAATAGCATTTGGAAATTGCTACTATCTCTCTAAGTTTATGTGTTTCTCTGTCAACCAAATCATAGGATTGGTCGTAATGAAGTAAAATGGATGCTGAAAGTTTCTAAAAATTGTAATTAAAAACCTTGTGTCAAATAAGTCAATAAAGAGTACTGCGAGTCTTTTAGCCCTTATAAGATATGCACAAAAATTTTCAATAGCATTATCCATCCTTTCTGCAAACCCTTAACATCCATGTTTTGCATTTGTATTTGTTACAAGTATTATCGGAAACAGGCATTTTCCATCTTAGTTAAGTTTTGCTTTAGAATCTACCTCATTAAACTTTTGTTGAATGTCGTCTGGTATTTCTACTCTCTTCAAATCCTCCATTCCTTTTTCAGGCTCATCACCAATCAAAATCTGAATAATTTTTTCCAAAACCAGCAAAACATCTTCATTTTTCTCAACATTATGCAGCTCCCTCATAATGTAGTATGTCCCATTGTCTCTCAAATATTCCCGGCCAGCTTTCCTGGTACACAGCTTGATAATGAAAAAAGTCAATCAAAGGCTGAATTTTTTAATACAATTTAAAACAAATGGTTAATTCAGAGAACAAAAACAATTTAATACAATTTAGTTGGTCATTAGACCATAATCACTTATATGCATCAGCGATAGTCAGATTACTCGAAAAATTTATAAAACAAGGTTCTTTTTTAATGTTGATTCTATCACTTTAATAAAACGGCAGAGGATTGCACACTGCATGCCAAGCTTCATTCCCTTCAGACAGGCTTGAAATTTCCATAGAGACAGAAATTCACTGAATCTTTTTGTCTATGGAAATTGCATAACAGTGGAACCAGCCTGTTCAGATGGGTCGCATGCCTGCAAAAAAAGCTAGCATTTGGGGAAGATGTAAGCATTGCTTGCTAGCTAGGTGAGTTGAGTCGGTGTAGAGTGGATTCAAGCTGCAGTTAGCAGTAGTCAGAGCAATCAAATCATCAGAAATCAAAGCTAACCTGGGGGATGCTTACAATTTTGATGACAACCACTGTACAACGGATTGGACTACCACTCAGGCAGGGGGTTGAGTTGTACTGCCACTCAACATTGCTCAAATGTTACAGACAGGGGATACCTACATACTTTGAAGGACGACCAAACCAGCATATTTCTTTAGCCACTGTCACCCATTTTTTGTATAATGAAGATACTTTATTAGGAAAATATTTTATAAGAATATTGAGGCTCAAAATTGCTAAAATTTGAGAATATATCAGAAATTTAAGGGAGGCTAAAAAAGTTCCCAAAAGCATGATTCTCTGTTTAACAAAAGTTGCTCCCACAGGCTTCAGACTTAACATTGCTTCTTAAACTAATAACTGAAAACAGGCCTGATTGTGATAAAGTAAATGTGCAACTTAATGTGAATTCTAGGTGACATTTTGAATTCACGCCAAAAAGAACTTTTTGTTTCTTTATTTGACGATGTTGCTTGGGCTAAATGCCGTAAATGTTTCAGAATATCCAGCCTCAGAATAATGAAAACGCTAATTGGTTGCTTCTTCAGGTTGTTGTAAATTGCAATTTCACAAAAAGGTTGATTGCGTCTTGAAAATGGTCTTCAGTTGATTAATAAAAAAATGGTCTGCAGTTTGGTTAATAATCCTTTCAGAAAAAAGGGCATGACCAGGAAAAGGGTGTAGTCTAAAGGGTGAGGTCGATCATCTATTTCATTTTGGCTGTAGTCAGGTTTTTTTGCTGGATCCACCACTGCTTTATAGAAAGGTTCAAAAATTCCATAAATTCAAAACCTCTGTCAATCCAAAAGTCACTCGATTACCGGGGGGTCAAATGGCCCTTTATCTAACAAATTCATGATGGCAGACTTTTTGTGGACTTAGAACACCTTAGGACATTGCAACTTTTAATTTATGGGCATGTGCAATACAATATTCTATGTGCAATACAAGTTCCGCTGTGCTTAGGGTTACTAACATAGGTACTAACATAGATAAGTATTCAGGGATGTGCCATACTTAAATCACTTTTACTGGAAAAATAAAGGCTTATAGACACTCTCTCTCAAAAGACATAACCTTGTGTTAAAAATTTAGTAGAAGCAAAAGCTTTGAGACAGCTATTAGCAAAACCATTTAATTTGCTCCTTTGTTTCAACCATTTTTAAGTATTAAGGTCAAGCCCTTTAAAATAGCCAGACCGAAACACTGCATGCTATAATTTTTGACTAAGAAATTTTTATAATTCCCAAGCTTTTAGTAAAAACTATCTTAGGAGAACACATTTACCTGCAAAAGAGTTTCAATAAGCATGGTCCGAATTTCTTCATCGGGTTCTCTCTCCTTATTTTCTGGGAGAAATTGTAAGTCGATTGGAAGTTGGTCCATTTCATTTTCTTTTATTTCTTCTGGTCCAGCAAGAGGAAGGAGCAGGTGGGGTAGAATATCAACATCTGCGCTTAACAACCAGTCATGGTAATCTATAACAATAAATGGTACTGTAGCAGAATCTTTGACTTAAGCACATAAATTTGTATAAAACAGTATGTACAGTAATAGTTGAGCAAGTTAAGCAAACAAAAACAGACAGATAAATCATTGTAGTGAGGAGATGAAATAATCTAATACAAAATAAAGAAATATTAAGAATAAAATTATTTTATCATTGTATAAAAAATACAGTATTACAAGTGTTAATATAGTGAACATATATGGGTCATTTCTGACGGCAAACCTGTTAACAAAACTTTGAAAAAGGTCTACCATCCATAGCATCATTTTTACTATCTAGCGAGTATGTACTATAGATCTGCTAGATACAATAAAGATGCATTCTATTATGAACATCAGACAAAAAACAGTTCCAAAAGAGAATGAAAGAGAACAGTTTTTGAAAATATCAATATACTTAATAAAACGTGATTTGATAGCTTGTCAATGTTTGTTGGACAAAAATACTGGCATTCATCCAAATTGTTCCTAGCCCAATAAACTACCTTGTGATAATCATTTACACCTATTGGCCATTGCACCTTTGCATATTTGAAGATTCCATGCGAAGACATGTATTTAATATCCTTTCATGTGTAGACATTTGTCTCTTAGCCAGGATAACTTTAAAGCAATTTCTGTCATGGTATCCACACATAAAGTGTGGCTTGTGTATGTGAAAATGAAAACCTATTTCCCAGCTTTGCCAAGAAAATCTGTTCATATGGCCATTGATTTTCTCATTAGGGATGATCTTGTAAATGCTTAAACCAGATTGTGGCTAGCATATGCCATTTTTGTATGCAAGTACTATTGACTCAAGGGGTGTAGTCAGGGCTGTAAGGTTGATTGTCCCCCTAGTTAGCAAATTTAAAAAGGCCATGCTGTGCACCCAAAAGATCTGTGTGAGAACCGCCATGCTTTGCATGGAGACACAGGAGAGCGAAGTATGTGTGACAAGGTTCCAAAACATATTAAAAAAACTTTATATATACCAGTTTCAAAAGAAAGATTTTTGATGATCCTGACAACAGCAGCACGTCGTATTTTTGATTCCATGTGAGAAGTGTACGGTAACAGCCTCTGAATGACACAGCGTTGCTGATCTAGAAAAAGCTTCCTTGCATTTTCAATCAATGTCATATTTGAGAGAAATGAACCCAAATGAGATAACTGATTGTTTTTCTTGTTGTATCCTTTAATGCAAAATGCATCAACAAAGTCTGCTAGAGCGACACTTTTCACTTTATCGATGTAATCAAAGATAACTTGACAATTTGTTGCAGTCCTTGATAAATTGCTGAGTAATTTTGCTGCATCGTCAGCATATGTTGCTTCCTTGCTTAAAACATATTTGATAACAAAATACAAAAAATCTTCATCTAACAAGCCAATTGAGCTTGCTTTTTGAGAATCGGCAATTAAATTTGTCAATATTCTCAAGCAATCCCGTTTGATTTCCTCTGTAGTATCTTCGATCAAAAGTTTCACAAGACTTTGGAGCAAATTACTTGTATTTGTAATTAGCTCACATCCATTTTCGTGGGCGGTTAACCCAGCAATATACTCCAGGGCGATTCCCTTAACCTCTAGCTTACAGTCAGCGTTCAAAAACTGACAAAGCTCTTTGAGCTGCGATTTTGCGTCCGCCATTATCCTCGTGGTCGAATTCGAATGCAATGAATCGAAATCGAGGCCGTGATGTTGTTGGGGATAGGAAAGAATTTCTTTGTTATGTACCACACAGAGGAAACCCTATTTATGCCACCATCAAGGCTTAAATGTTTTCGTCAACCCCAAGTGGGCTCAAGTCATATTTTATATAATAATAGATGTATATGCCGAAATGGCCCTTAATCTACTACAACAAACAAAACGTCGTAATTTTAAATGGTTAGTTAAAATTGCTACATCTAAAATATTTCTACAAATGGCTACAAGAATTATAACAGCTTAAAGGTAATGTGTCCATATAAAAGGGCTGCGTATACCCAACATGTCAAGTAACATCAAAATAACATTTTGCGATTGGCCAGTATTCTTGCGATGCAAAACTGCTCACATGAAAAGCTAACCTCGCAGCAGGGTAGATAAACAGAACGACTGTAATGACTGGGACGATGACATGAAAAATCACATGTTTCTGAAAACCCCCGCAAAGTTGCTTGCTTTAGCTGGACACATTACCTTTAAATATACAATAGAAAACTGACCAGCACATTTTTTCATATTGTCTGATAAATTTTACGCTTTTGGACTGCTCGCCTTACTGTTATCGCAAGAGTTCGAATCAAATCAAGATGTTCTTGACTCATCATCCAAATAAACTTGTTCTCATGACTACTAAGATCTTTTATATAGGGATACCTCTCTTCAATTTTCACCAACAGTTTATTCCTTTCTTCAGAGTAAAGGGGGCAAAATGAAATTCGTCTTCAATAGCGTGGATGGAGATCGAATCGCAATATCTGCCGATTCTTTCATCCTTGGAGGTAGGCTTGTTGCCATATCTACCACTCTCAATATTTTAATGCACTTTTCTTCGGACACTATCGGAAACTTTATAGCATTTTTCTTTCCTTCGACTTTCTTCTTTTAAAAGTACTTTTTACATAGAATGTCTACTCAAAGAAGAATCAAAACGACAATTACGAATGGAGGAGAATAATGTTAACCCTCTAGAGTACATGTTTGTTATGTGCATAAATTGATTTATGTAAGCTAAGGACAAAGTTCTGCTTCCCTTATTCATTTTAAGACCATATATGTTGTTGCCACCTTGAACCAGACCCACTTCCAGTAGAAAGTTTAACCTTGTTGTAAAAAATGTTTTTCATCAAGTAATAATGTCATGGTATCTAAAGCTCTGAAAATTCGTTTAAATGTAGGAACCCTATGCGAAGGATGGGCATGGGTCATACTTGTTGTTATGTGAAGATGAAGCAAGCATCCAAACAACAATCGTTGCATCCAGTCTCAATGAAATGGAATTGGAAGGATCTAAAGGCGTTGGCTGTCTTTGAAACAGCCAAAATTAGCGTAAATAATTGCTGTAAATACTTTTTACACTGGTTTAAACAAAATGTTGTGCCAGGACTAAACAAAATCCAAAAATAATACAAAATCTTTGAATTCTTTTCAAGCTTGAAGATCCCAGCCAGCGAAAAAGTATTCCAACCACAACAACCTGCTTGTTTTTATTCCGTTAACGGTTACAGTGTTTGTAATTTTATTGACATAATATGGTGTTACAAATACATGCTCTGTCTTTCATGTCACACTTCAGTTGATCTATCCAGAAAAGCACCCTAGCGGCCATGACCAGTGTGTTCCATTGACCAGGTGTCAAGTCACCCCCCTCAGTCCAGTTTGATCACCATTTTCTAAATTATCCAGTTTTAACAATTGCAACTGCAGAAGCTTGTGATTTTTTTCAGCTGCACTCTGACATACCGCAAAACTCCGAACGAAAGTCCAGGGCCTATTACGATTCAAAGACCATTTTAAGGGGCATACATGGTGCAGGGGCCAGATTGGGAGGGGGTGGCTATTTTCAGAGTTCAGTTAATTTCAGAAAGAACATCGCAAAACAAGTTTTTCAAGCCTAAATGAAAAGATTAATTATGTTTCCATGACACTTACAATCAAGCTTCAACCATTGTTGAAAGAATAGTATGCTAAAAGAGCTAATGCCAAAGAAATTGATGATGCAGTAAGCAAGTCGACCTAAATTTTTGCACTCAGTCTAGAAAAAAACATGCTTCTATCCACGTAGACGTGTGTCTGATAAATACACGCCTTGACTAAATGCTGATTATTTCAAATTAGCAAAAAAACGAAAGATAAATTAAAAACGAAAGATTCGAAAAGAAACTCAAAATTGTTGATTGAATCCTACAAGCATATTCGTAACATGTTGAATAACTTAGATAGACAAGTTAAACGTGAATATTTATCCGAAAAAGTCACACAGTCCCAAGGTGACCTCAAGAAAACTTGAAAACCATCAACCAAGTTATCAACAGAAAGTGTAACACTACAGTTGTGCCAAATTTTACTGTAAACAACCAAACAGTTAGTGGCAACAAAGAAACCGCATTATCAATGAATGAGTACTTCTGCAGTATTGGGGAAAAACTCAGTGAGAAAATTCTCAAGAAAGCAAGTCCACTCTTGCTTGTCTGTTAAATACCCGTTCGAAACTCCTCCGCCAATTTCCTCTTTTTCTGTCATCATGATAGATGAACTATCGTCAACTTTAAGGAGGATGAAAACATCACATGGTTCAGGCCACGATGGCATTGCAAGCTTCTATTTGAAGATTGTTTTGCCAGTTGTTGGTGGGTCCTTGTGTGATTTTTTCAATGAATCGTTTTTCACGGGAAAATTTCCGGAAGACTGGAAAAAAGCGCGTATTTCACACATTTTCAAAAGTGGTGCAAGAGATGACAGGTCGAATTATAAACAGTGGCGTAGCGTCCGGGTATTCAAGGTATTCAGTGAATACCCTGCGATTTCTCAGAAAAAATATTAATACGACGTATAATTGCAATAAGTAAAAAATGTTTTGGGGCTATTGATTCTGGTTGAATTCGTTACCTCCGATATTCTACATTTTGTACAAGTACAGAATATCATCAAATTCATGGAAACAATAACGCTGCGAAGCATAGAGAAGCTGGGAGATCTTGAAGCTAATTTTGAGGATTGAGCTACTTTATGTTGTATGGAGATCGGTCATGAATACGCAGTGAATACCCTAGACGGTACTTTAACCAATCAAAATGCTCCTTTCCATGAATAATATTTGCCGTTAATCAGCTAAAACAATGGTTCTGTACGCTGAGAAATATGCAGCGTACAGCCTCAAAGTTGGTTCAAAATAGTCTCGTTATGAGATCGATATAAACAGTTAATGAACGTCGGAGCGGTTTGAGTGATGGAGCTGCATCGAAAACAGTAAACATGACTTAATTAAAAAACTATTGCAATGTCCGTATTACTGTTTCATAATCATTCTCTCATTTGACAACTACACTTAATCTACCAACAGCAAAGTGGAAAGGAAAGGTAGGCTGCTACATAATACTACACTGACTCAGATCTGCTCCCTCTTGAAATGTCAATTTGTTATTGCTTGCCAATCAGGGATGTTTCTGTTTGTATTATGTGATAGAATTAAAGTAAATGCAGATAGGCCTGGATAATATCCTTATAGTTGACTGGTGTATTCAGTTATCTTGTTGGCCTATTTTGTTTGCATTATTCGAGCGCATTTATTTGCATTATTGTGCAGTCTCATCTCATTACCTTCGATTCTTTCAAATATTAACTTGTATTGAAAATATCACGATTAGGCCATAAAGAAAAAGTCTATACTGCATACCACAAAATCATTTATAACTCATGTAATGCCCTATGTGAATAATTTTGAAACTTTCGAAAGCCCTCTTGTATTAAGGTATTAAGAGTAGGTGTTTACAGTTACTTCCTCTTGTCTTGGTCCACACTTATCCCTGATTTATATAAATGATCTACCCTTTTTTCTGCAAAAATCTCTTGTCAGCATGTATTCTGATAACATGGCTATTTCTCTCTTCTCAAAAAGTATTGATGACCTACAGATTGACCTAATCTGGGAACTTTTGTAGCAACAGGATTGGCTGCATGCAAACAAACTTTCTCTGAACTTTGTGAAAACACAGCCTCATTATAGGTTTTGGTCTATTATAGGTAGGATCGAAGGCCAGCCTGAAGCTCTACCATCTTTTTCAATAGGTGGTCAGGAAATTAGAATAATTACCAATACAAAGTATTTAGGTGTTCAGATAGACAACCAACTAAAATTAGGACAAACATATCGATACTGTCAAAACCAAGGGAAATCGATTCCTTGGACTAATTAAGTATTCTAAGAAATATCTTCCATCTGACGTTCTCAGTGAAATTTTTAGAGGAATTGTTGAGCCCCATTTGAGTTACTGTTGTTCCGTTTGGGGCTGCTGTAATGAATCAAAGCTCGACGTCTTGCAAAAAATCCAATATAGAGCTGCAAGAATTGTAACAAACAGCCCATACGATGCTTCAGCTGCTCCGCTAATTTAGAGTCTTGGCTGGTCAACTATCAGTAAACTTGTGAGAAAAAAGACTGCCACGCTGACCCACAAGTCTCTGAATTCACTTGCCCCTGACTACTTGAAAAAATCATTCATGAAATATTCAGATGACAGAGAATGGTTTCAGATACTGATGTTAGTATACCGTTACTGAAAACGGTCAATGGCCAAAAGGCTTTTTCTCATCGCGGTGCAATGCTCTGGAACAGTCTAGGAAAAGAAACAAAATTGGCACTCTCCCTGAAAATCTTCTAAGATAAACTATAGAAGGAGTTGTGACCTTAATTTTATTTTTATATTCTTTTCATAGACTTTGTATCATATTATAATGTAAATTAGGTATACTAGTTTCTTTAGCACTTAGTTTAGTCTTTTCGTTTGATAAGGTCGGTTTGAAAAACATATTTTGATATGAAACTTATAAGCTGTATAAATATTTTAAAATTAATAAAAATGTATATTGGGTTTGGTATAGATTTTAATAGATATAAATCTTCTACTTACTTTCGGTCATTATCCGATGTTTATACTCTGAAGGGTGTCGGAACAAAAGGTACTGAAGTATGCTATGTATCTTAAGTAGGCTTTAGGGATGCTATTCATTTGAATGTCATTTGATACGATTTGATCATGCTGTAAACGGTATTATTGTATTGTAATGGTTGAAAATGCATGTTGTGAAGTCAATATATTTCGCAACCCACGCGTCGTGGGGGATTCCTACTCGTCCCAGTCTTCTTACGTTATTTATTCACGCCCTATATTGTAAGGTGAAGTTGTTTGAAGTAGTGAAGTTACGATAAAGTCACGCTACAAATTCATGATGGGCTAACAAGTTACGTTTACGTTATAGTTGTTTATAGTCACGTTTTGTATATATTTAAAGATAAAATCAACGATATGGAGTTTCATTCACGTCTACGCTCTACCGAAGCTATGTTCAAAATATAATGGCGCCCAACGTGGGGCACGGAATACGACGAAATCATGGCCACTGATACAGAAGGTAACAGTGGACAATTAACGAAATTGTTAGCAATACGAGGAGGAAATAGAACCTCCATTACGAAGCTTGAACGACAAGCCACGGCTCTTCTTGAAGAACTAATTAATGAAAATGGAGAACAAGTCGAGAAGGTGATTCGTTTAGAAACGGTACAAAAGTCTCTTCGAGAAAAGCAAACGTTTGTGAACGGACTAAACGAAAAGATACTGGAATTATGTCCAGAAGTTAATATCGAAAAAGAAATCGATGAAACGACGGAGCTGAATTTCAGAATCGATGAAATTCTGGGAAGAATTCAAGCTTTTAAAGACGGTCGTTACGCTCAGACCAATGCATTCGGAGTTGGGAGTGGAACGACACAAATTATTACGTCAACGCCTTCCAGAGAAGCTGAAAACGTTGAACAAGCAACAAACAACGAACATGGTCTCAATACAAGCGGGGTTACCATGGGTTCTGTTCCCATTCGTCTTCCAAAAATAACGCTCCCACGATTTAACGGAGATATAACACGTTTCATGTCCTTTTGGCAGAGTTTCGAGAATGCCATAGATAAAAACGAAAGCATAACTGCAGTTGATAAGCTCAACTACTTGGTGAATTTGTTGGAGGGTCCAGCATACCGTGCAGTATCAGGACTCGAACTGACGGAACAAAATTATTTAAATGCAATGGAAATTTTGAAGGCAAGGTTTGGCAACAAACAACAAATAATCTCGACGCATATGCAGGCTCTCCTTGGACTACAAAACTGCCCAAACGAAAACGTGAAGCAATTGCGCTTCATTTACGACAGCATAAATGTACACGTAAGGGGGCTTGAAGCCCTTGGTATGAGTTCTGCAAGTTATGGCAGTTTATTAGTACCAATCCTTATGGCAAGAATGCCGCGAGAAATTACATTGCATGTCGCCAGAAAGACGACCGAGGAAGTTTGGCCGATAAAAGAAATATTGGAGATCGTCAAAAAGGAAATTGAAGCCAGGGAACTGAGCGATAACATCAAGCCCGTCGAAAAGAAATGTGACAAAACTTCAGGATATGGATCAAAATCACCACAAGGCACTACGAAGACATTTTTGACGAAAGACGAAAAAGTGCAAGATTGTGTTTATTGTGGGCATGCACACTCTCCGTCAAGCTGCAAAGAAGTCCAGGAAATAACGGGTAGAAAGAAGATCCTATTGGAGACCAAACGATGTTTTTCCTGCTTGAAATCTGGACACATGACAAAAAAGTGTCGGGAAAATCGAAATTG